ATATATATATATATATATATATATATATATATACACACACACATATATATGCATACACACCATTAGCTATTAACCCTGAATAGTGCCTAAAATATTCTATGACTAAAAGAAATATTGAAAAGCCACACACTTCAAGATGAAAATATGGAATAAAATAAAGTAGAATTACATATCAGGTGTCTCATTCTTCTGAACACAAATGATGTGAATTATCGGTGAACAGGCGGTTCGAATCCACCAGCTGCTCCGTGAGAGAAGGATGGGCAGTCTCCTCCCGTACAACTAGCTAACTGCCTCTGAAAACCTGCTAGAGCGTCAGCAATAGGCCATTTTCACCTCGACAGCACACAACAAGGAACAACTCTGATACTTGAACAGTTCCCAGTCAGCTCTCAATGCTGAACTCAAGACAGATTCAAAATCTCACTTAGCTAAACTCTGCACATACAGCTCTGAATTTTGTCCATGTCATAGTTACATGAAATTCTCCTAGAAATCTCATCACTCATTCCATCCAAGTAGAAACAGAGGAAGTGTTTGCTCTGAAAGGTCCCTGATTCTTTGCCTAGTATCAGCCCCAGGTACTCTGTCTACAGTGCTGTTCCAAAGCTTGGAAGGAGAGAACCTTGCATAACCTTTCACTTCTCTGGTATTCACTAGACAGCAGAAAGCAAAATAAGAAATGGACCTTTATGAGGAGTGGATACCTGGAGACAGTTCTAATGTCCTCTCCTAGCTAATGACACAAATTATTTTGGGAAATGATTATTGCTCTTTGATTGAAAGGCTTACACTACCAAGTGTTTGACTTTTCTCTTTAGTTCTGATTTAGATTTACTAAAATAGATAATGCCTAATTTTAACCTTTATGTATAAACACTTAGCCTGCACAAAATACAGTCTTTATAAAATAAACATCTTATATAATTTCTCTTTTAAAAATAGCTTTAACATACTCCTGATGTCCCTAATCATTCCTACCATAGATTCCACAGCTGTGTTTTCAGCCTAGCTCAGAGGCCGTGGATAGCTGTTTATACACCCCGGTAACTCAGAGCGATGCTATAGGAGAGAGTCCAACCACCCTATAGAGTTTCCAAGGGTCTAATCTTTACAAAACAAGACTGCCGCATCTCTCTTCCACACAGTGGGTGGCACATTTGAACCACCAATCTTTTGGTTTAAAGTCAAGCGCAATAACCACTGTGCAAGCGAGGCTTCTTTCAATTGCTCTTCCACTACATCGGTGGCTCTTGGCTTTTCCTATGCATTGGAACACCTGGAAGTCTTGCCGGAACGCAGAATATTGGACCTGCCCCCAGAGGGTCTGACTCAGCAAGGCTGGGCTAGTGTCTGAGAATCTGTATTTCTACCAAGTTTCAGATGATGCTGATGCTGTCGGTCCAGAGACCTTATGCCTTACACTATGTGCTCTCTAAGGAACAATGAAAACTGAGAACCCAGGACCCACCATGTTCTTCTTAAACTAAGTCTCCTCAAGGCCATGCCTCTGGAAAATATTTTAGAAAACATTTTTCTTTCCTTCCACCCTTATTAAAAACAGTCAAGTCCAGGCAACTAAAGAGGGCTTAATATATTCACTTAGCAGTTTGCTTTGCTGGACCTGAGGCTGGAAACATTTCCTATTTCTCACCAGCCAGGTTATAATAAGGTAGGCATCTATAATGTGTCTCTAGTTCCCCTGTTCCTGAATCCCTCCCCAGGACAGGATCTGTGCTCAGGGTGGGGTTACAGGGGCCGGGGGAGGGAGGGGTGAAAAGCCACAGCTACATCTCTCTGCCCAGCAGATCGATCTCATCCAGAAGGAAATCCATGTCCTCACGGCTCACTTGCGGGCTGATCACCACCTGACGGAAGAAGTTGACCTTTCCACGGTGGGGCTGGTAGCCAAGCATGAGGCTGCCTTTCTTCATCATCCTCTCCTTAATGGCTGGGGCAACCTGCATGTGTGAGCGGAGGGGAGAGGTGAGAGACCAGAACACCAAACCATCATAACTGCATGTCACCAGTCACTGGTATTTACCGGGCCCCTCCAGGTACACATTCCATTCATGTGGGGTCCCCAAGGGCGATATTAGCATGCTTGGCATTTATGTCAATTCACAACCCATCAGGGCTGATTAAAATGTTTCAGGTGTATTCATTCATTTAACCTTCTCAAGGGAGCTCTGGTGGCTTAATGATAAGGAGTTGCACCGCCAACCTAAAGGTATGTGGTTCAAATCCATCAGAGGCTCCATGGCAGGAAGATGGGCAGTCTCCTTTGCTGTGATTAACTGCCTTTGAAAATCCATTGTAGAGTCAAGTACGGGTGGATTCCAACTCGACCGTAGTTCATGGTTAGAAGCTGTGCTGCAATCCCAAAGGTTCTAATCCATCAGCCGGTCAATGGGAGGATGGGCATTCTCGTCCCATGCAGCAGCCTCTGCAAACCCTCTGGAGAATCTTCACGAGCCAGTTCTGACTCGACAGTACACAGCAACAATAACATGATGCAGATAAAGAAGGATTTTCTATTTAAACAGAATGTGTTTCTGGGTCCATGAACCATAGATTAATTCCTCAAGGTAGTTAACAGTGGAGTGGCATCCACTTCCATAATAGCTTGCCTCCGGAAACCCTATGAACTTGGAGAGAGGATGAAAGGCACCCAAGCGTCAAGGACTCTCCTTCATAGGGTCTAGGGTCGCTATGAGTCGCCTGCGACTTGACGGCACTTAACAACAACAACAACAGTTAACAGTAGACAAAAGGGAGGCCTCCACTGACAATAAATACTTCACGAGGAAGACAAACCCTAAAAAACATCAAGACTGATCATCACAGAATCTCCTTCAAAACTTATTATTAATAATGCATAAATGTCATGATGATTGTGTTGTCATTATTATTAGCAAATATATGACCAACCCTTTATCATTTGCAATGTGCAAATGATTCCTGTTAACTCAAATGTAAGCATATCTGGAAGGAATTCCTGTTTTTCCAATTTAGGAAGCATAGTTAATCTCATGAAGACCTCTGTGTTTTTTTTTAAATCAATCCTTTTCTATTTATAAAGATTCTAGGGCAAATCAAGGCAGGTAACTGGGCTATTGTCTTCCTACTGATCACAGCAGAGAGACAGTCCTCATTTGACAGGATGGGATGCTCACAAGGGACCGGAAATATGAACAAGCTAAATGTGAGCATCTGAATATCATCCCTAAATGGAGCATGCATGGAGGAAAGCAATTTGGCAGGAATGAGATTGCTTTCCAGTCCTCAATTATTTTACTGCTGCTTTTCCTTCAAATTGTAAATCAAATTCTCTTCTTGTGCCTCAGTGCACTGGTGCCTGCATCTTAAGTGGGAGAAGATCCTGACATTTCTATTTGATTGCACAGAGACTTAATCCACACATTTCTGTAGGATTGCTATTTCTTCCCCCTGAAATTATCATCCAGCAATGATTTAGTCTATTTAAACAGAATTCTGTTGTCACACTCCTGCAGCACTAAACACCATTTGATATTTAAAATTGCCCAGGACTGAAGTAAAAAAACTGACAGGCGTCCCTCCTTGGGTTTTTATTTGCACACCATGGCTGGATGGAACTACAAATGGGTGGTTTGGGTCCCACCAAGGCAATGAATAGCTTGCTAATAATATAAATAAGGTAAATAGCACCTCTAGAGTGGTCTCATGCAAAACAAAGTATGTAGATCACTAACTAGGGGATTAGTCAGTTTTGACACCTGTCAGTTTTAAATTGAGCAGGTTCAGAGGCAGGAAATAGAAAGCTTGCCAAAAAAAATGAGAAAGAGCAGAAAGTGTAGTGGCTCCTTTTGGACCAAAGATGCATGCATTAGACAGAAACTCTGACAAAACCTTTGCCAGGAACAGCAGAGAGGTGGTGGAAAAGCAGAGACTAGTGTGAGACAGAGCTGACTAGGACTGCCACTTCATGGAGCCAGAGCTGAGGCTGTCTGGCTAAAAGGGAGAGAGGAGAGCGATGTAATCGTCAAAACTACAACAGCTTTGTAACATTGGCCCAGAGCTGAGACAGGGCTCGGTAAGGTTGAAGTTCAGAGGGAGGCCTGTCTGTGACACAACTGAGAAGCCATCCTAATTGAAGAGTTATATCCTGGGTGTTTCCAACTTAAATTACAATAGATTCTTTTCCTAATAAACTCCATAATCTTGAGTAATGACTTTGAGTTCTGTGTGGCCATTACAACAAATGAGCAAACCTGGGAGTAGAAAAATGAGAGTCTTAGAACAGTTGGTAGAAGTGGGTGTGAAAGTATAAGGTCATGTCTACCTCATAGGAATTTTTTTGTGTGTGATTAATGCTCCTAATTGCATTCAGCCCCCTGTGGAACTGGCATTCAGACATTGGCACCCATACTCGCTACACTGTTTTTACAAAGCTCCTTAAACTCCAGATTTTAAATTCACCTTCTTCATTTCCCTTTAATTAAGCTACATTTCATTTTCTCTAAGGGAGCAAAGATTCTTTGAGAAATGAGAAGCTAAACTCAAAATAATTTGCAGACATTGAGGACTGAGCATGAGGTGAGCAAGAAAACAAGTTACTAGAGTTTTATTGTAATTAAAATATTTCTAGAATTTTCTTGTCCCTAGTGTACCCACCAACGGTGCAAGGTAGGACAAGTTCTAACCTGTTGTTCCTAGGGTCACTGTGAGTTGTAGTTGACTCAAAGATATGTAACAACAGCAACAACAAATCAGAGTCAGCCACCTTGTCCTGTCAAGTGAATAAACCCCCTGTAATCACGTCAATGCCAACTCACAGGAACCCTGTAGAACAGAACACAATTATCCTATAGAGTTTTAAAATCCTACAGGGCTGTAAATCTTCACAGAAGCCTACAGCCTCCTCTTTTGCCCATGAAGCAGCTGATGCTCTCCACCACCAGCCTTTTGCTAAGCAGGTGAACATTTTTTTTGTTTGTTTTTTGTGGGGTTTTTTTTTTAATTACCATGCCACCTAGGCTCCTTTGTAAAGGGGCAGACAGTAACTATCCCAGGCTTTGTAGCCCCTGCATTTTCTTCAGGAAACTGTTCCCTTTCACCATCACAGCACAAAAGCAGCCACAAACGAGCCCAGCCATGTTCTAGGAGGCTGCATTTAGGGACAAGACTGCATTTAGGACAATTAGACTATCATATAATTTTCACACATAACAAAATATTGCATTTAGGATAACTAGACTATCATATCATTTTCACATATAGTAGTGCATTTAGGACAATTTGACTATCATATCATTTTCACATATAACAAAATATTATACTTCTTTTAACTATTTAAAAATGTAAAATCCCTTCTTAGCTCATGGGCATAAAGAGACCCAAGGTCAGATGTGCTCTCCAGTCTGTAGCTGGCGGACTCCCTGGTCTAGATGAAGGAATATATTGTGAGGCATATAAACTCCCCCAAAGGGCAAAGATTGCACAGGAAAGTACGCTTTGGAGGATTCTTTCAGAAACTGTGTTTTGAGTAATGAAATAAAAACTTCATTTTTCTTATTTAGTAGAGGCCCACTTGGGTGGTAGGATTGGTACCATGTATTTCTAGGACAATCATAACAGGTAACTTGCTTTGTGTTTCCTTCTCAGATAACCTGGGCTCCAAGCACACTCCAACCTCCATGGTAACTTGATATGTCTTCTCCTGGGTAGAATAAAAATCTAGTTCATAAAAAAAGAGTTGGTGATCCAAGATGGCGGCAGAGGCAGAGACAGCGTGGTGAGTTGCGGGAGCAGCGAACCACTTAAAGCAGGGCCATTATGGCCTTCCACAGACTTCAGCTTATTGATAATTGAACACTTAAACAGTTGATGACTGGCCCTCAGTGAAGATCGAGGCTCAACAACAGGAATTCAAGGATTCCCAAGGAGAAATGGGTGAGTCTCGTGGCTCCCCCCTCTCTGCCCAGAGCCCGTGCTGCGCCGCACAGCCACTGCAGCTCCATGAGGCTTCCACAGCCGGAACGAATGGATTCCCTCACCCA